AGAAAAGTCAAACATGACCAGTATAGGCTTTTAAGGCCTACAAGTAAAAAAACTACATTTCCGCGAAAATGACGTCACTTCCGGTTTTGGCCAGGAAATGGCGGACATGCGATAGTTAGCGGTGACGTCTGGGAAGTGTTACGAACAGCTGATCGGATCGGCAAAGCGTGTTTCTGGAATATTATGTTTTTGTTGCTGCAAGCACTTTTTATGCAGTTTTTGCAAAGCTTTATGTGGAAGGAAACTGTGACCGAGGAGAAGCTGATGGCATAAGATGTAAGTACAACTCCTCCTGTTTCGTATGCAAAACAAATTATTGCGCTAGTGTTACGATCCAATGTTGCCAGTGTTTTGTGTTAGGCGTGACTGTTATGTGTTTCCTGTTTTACTTTGAAGGTCTGTCTTATCTCAGTGTGTTCAGTTTCCGCTTCCTTGTCTCGTCAGTTCTGATTTGCCCCAGCTGTGTTTCCCTCCTGTTGTCCATTCCCTGATTGCTCCCTCTATGTATTTAAGCCCTGTGTTTCAGTTTGTCATGGGTCATGATCATTGTGGTGTTGGTATCGTAGTTTTGTAAATAGCTGTAAATAGATTTGTAAAGTAGCAATTGAGTAATTTGTTCACCTTGTATATATTGTTCACTGCAGAAGCCTAGTAGGCATGAGAAGCCATTTTTGTTGATTACGTTTTCTCCTGTTTTTGTTTAGGAAGTTAGGTAAGTGAATTGTCTTTTGTTTGGTTTTTCATTTTGGGTAGGAAAGCGTAGGGACCATTAGGGAGTTTTGTTTGTTATTTTTGGCACTGCTCACTGCTGAAGCAAATAAATGGCTGCTTAGCATTTTAAAAGATACTATTGTTTGGGTTCTTGTTTTGGGTGGAGTGTGGTGGGCCAATGTTTTGTTGCGTTCAGGACACGCCTAGACCTAGAACGTAACATAAACCTCAGACCCTCCAGCAAAGACATTTATGTTACGTTTATGTTACGTTATGTCACACAAAACACTGACAACATTGGATTGTAACACTAGCTTACACGGTTCAGGTTCTACAGGGATTTAAAAATAGTTACACAAAACGGAGCGTGCTGCTCTGACCAGCTTTAAAGGGTTAACAATGACTTTTAAAAAATAATATAAAATAGTGTGCAACACCACTGAAGTTTTTTTTTTTTACCTCTCTTTTCAACCAATGGCAGTCACTCTCTCCTCTCCAAATAACTTCTGCTTAGCTTTCCGAGCTTCCCCCGGGTCCTCTTAATCAGCGGTCTCCAACCTTTTTTGCGCCACGGACCG